CAGAATGGATAAGAAAACAATACCCATCTATATGCTGTTTACAAGAAATTCATTTTAGACCTAAAGACACCTGCAGATTGAAAGTAAGGAGATGGAGAGCCATCTATCATTACAATGGTCATCAAAAGAAAGCCAGAATAGCCATATTTATATTAGATAAACTAGATTTTGAACCAAAGACTGAAACAAGAAATGAAGAGGGACACTGTATCATAATTAAGGGGTCTATCCACCAGGAAGATCTAACACTGTAAATATTTATGCCAACATGGGAGCACCCAAATATATAATTCTATGAATCACAAACATAAAGATACTCACTGATGATAATACCATAATAGTAGGGGACTTCAACACTCCACTTACAGCAGTGGAAAGATCATCTAAGCAGAAAATCAAGAAGGAAACAATGGCTTTGAAAGACACACTGGACCAGATGGACTTAACAGACATATTCAGAACATTTCATCCTAAAGCAGCAGAATACACATTCTTCTCAAATGCACATGGAACATTCTCCAGAACAGATCACATACTGGGTCACAAGTCAGCCCTCAACAAGCACAAAAAGATCAAGATCATACCTTGCATATTTTTAAACAACACTATGAAACTTGAAATCAACCACAAGAAAAAATTTGGAAAGACCATGAATACTTGGATATAAAAAACACCCTACTAAAGAATAAATGGGTTAACCAAGAAATTAAAGAGGAAATTAAAAAGTACACAGAAGCAAATGAAGATGAAAACACAACAGCCCAAAACCTCTGGGATGCAGCAAAGGCAGTTGTAACAGGGAAGTATATAGCAATCCACACCTTCCTAAAGAAGAAAGAAAGGTCTCAAATACACAACCTAACCTTACACCTAAAAGAGCTACAAAGAGAACAGCAAATAAAGCCCCAAATCAGCAGAAGCTGTTAAATAATAAAGATCAGAGCAGAAATCAATGATACTGAAATCAAAAAAACAGTAGAACAGATCAATGAAACCAGGAGCTGGTTCTTTCAAAGAATGAACAAAATTGATAACCCCCTAGCCAGACTGATCAAAAAGGGAAAAAAAGGGCCCAAATAAAATCACAAATGAAAGAGGAGAGATCACAAACACCGCAGAAATACAATCGTAAGAGAATATTATGAGCAATTATATGCCAACAAATTGGGCAATCTGCAAGAAATGGACAAATTCCTAGAAACATATAAACTACCAAAACTGAAACAGGAAGAAATAAAAAATTTGAACAGACCCATAACCAATAAAGAAATTGAATCAGTAATCAAAAATCTCCCAATAGACAAGATTCCAGGGCCAGATGGCTTTCCAGGGAAATTCTACCAAACATTTAAAGAAGAGTTAACATCCATTCTTTTGAAGCTGTTCCAAAAAAATAGAAATGGAAGGAAAACTTCCAAACTCATTCTACAAGGTTTTGATTCCAAAACCAAAGACCCCACTAAAATGGAGAAGTACAGATCAATTTCCCTGATGAACACGGATGTAAAAATTCTCAACAAGATCCTAGCAAACCGGATCCAACAATACATTAAAAGAATTATTCGACATAATCAAGTGGGATTTATTCCTGAGATGCAAGGCTGGTTGAGTATCTGCAAATCAATCAATGTGATACATCACATTAATAAAGAAAAGATAAGAACCACATGATTCTCTCAATAGATGCAGAAAACGCATTTGACAACATATAGCATCCTTTCTTGATAAAAACCCTCAAGAAAGGAGAGTTAGAAGGATCACACCTCAAGATCATAAAGGCCATATATGAAAGACCCACTGCTAACATCATCCTCAGTGGGAAAAAAAGAGCTATCCCTCTATAGTCAGGAAAACGACAAGGATGTCCACTCTCACTACTGTTATTCAATATAGTGTCAGAAGTCCTAGCCTCAGCAATCAGACAACACATAGAAATAAAAGGCATCCAAATTGGCAAGAAGAAAGTCAAACTTTCATTCTTTGCAGACAATATGATACTCTATGTGGAAAAACCAAAAGACTCCACTTTAAAAACTGCTAATCTCCACTAAAGAACTGATAATACATGAAATTCAGCAAAGTCGCAGGATATAAAATCAATGAACAAAGCGGCTGCATTTCTATACATCAATAATGAAGCAACAGAGAAATTAAGGAATGAACCCCATTTACAATTGCACCAAAACCCATAAAATACCTAGGAATAAATAAACTTAACCAAAGAGGTGAACAATCTATACACTGAAAACTATAGAAAGCTTATGAAAGAAATTGAAGAAGACACAAAGAATTGGAAAAACATTACATGCTTATGGACTGGAAGAATATTGTTCAAATGTCGACAGTACCCAAAGTAATCTATATATTCAATGCAATCCCTAACAAAATAATAACATCAGCATTCTTCACAGAGCTAGAACAAACAATCCTAAAATTTGTATGGAACCAGAAAAGACCCCAAATAGCCAAAGCAATCCTAAGAAACAAAACCACATAGCTGGAGGGATCACAATTCCAGACTTCAAGCTGTATTACAAAGCTGTAATCATCAAGACAGTATGGTATTGGCACAAGAACAGACACACAGATCACTGGAACTGAATAGAGAACCCAGAGATGAACCCACGAAAGTATGGCCAACCAATCTCTGACAAAGCAGGAAAGAATATCCAGTGGAAAAAAGACATCAGCAAATGGTGCTGGGAAAACTGGACAGTGACATGCAGAAGAATGAACCTGGAGCACCTGCTTACACCATATACAAAAATAAACTAAAAATGGATGAAAGACCTAAACCTAAGACAGGGAGCCATCAAAATCCTAGAGGAGAAAACAGGCAGCAGCCTCTTTGACCTTAGCCACTTCTTACTTGACACGTCTCCAGAGGCAAGGGAAACAAAAGCAAAAATGACCTATTGAGAGCTCATCAAGATAAAAAAACCTCTGCACAAAGATGGAAACAATCAGCAAAACTAAAAGGCAACTGATGGAATGGGAGAAGGTATTTGCAAATGACATATCAGATAAAGGGTTAGTATCCAAAATCTATGAAGAACTTACCAAACTCAATACCCAAAAAACAAATAATCCAGTGAAGATGTGTGTAAAAGACACGAATACTTTTCCAACAAAGACATCCAGATGGCTGACAGGCACATAAAAAAATGCTCAACATCACTCATCATCAGGGAAAGAGAGATCAAAACCACAATGAAATGCCACCTTACACCTGTCAGAATGGCTAAAATGAACAATTCAGGCAACATTAGATGTTGGCAACGATGCAGAGAAACGGGAACCGTTTTGCACTGCTGGTGAGAATGCAAACTGGTGCAGCCACTCTGGAAAACAGTATGGAGTTTCTAAAAATAGAACTACCCTACGACCCAGCAATTACACTACTAGGTATTTACCAAGGATACAAGAGTGCTGATCCAAAGGGGCACATGTACCCCAATGTTTACAGCCGCACTATCAACAATAGCAAACATATGGAAAGAGCCCAAATGTCCACTGACTGACGAATGGATAAAGAAGATGTGGTATATGTGCTATATATATATACACAATGGAATATTACTCAGCAATCCAAAAGAATGAAATCTTGCCATTCACAACAATGTGGATGGAACTAGAGTGCATTAGGCTAAGCAAACTAAAAAAGAGAAAGACAAATATGTTTTCACTCATATGTGCAATTTAAGATACAAAAGAGATGAATATAAGGGAAGGGAAGCAAAAATAATATAAAAACAGAGAGGGAGACAAACCATAAGAGACTCTTAGATACATAGACCAAACTGAAGGGTGCTGGTGGGGTGTTGGGTGGGAAGAAGGACTATGGGGTGAGAGGCATTAAGGAGGACACTTGCTGGGATGAGCACTGAGTGTTGTATGTAAGTGATGAATCACTAAATTGTACTCCTGAAACCATTATTACACTATATGTTAACTAACTTGGATTTAAAATTAAAAATAAATAAATAAAATTATTTTATCAAAGTTAAAAAAAACAAAAAAAATTTTGTAACTATGTACGGTGATGGATGTTAACTAGATTTCTGTGGTGATCATTTTGCAATATATACAAATATTAAATCTTTACCCTATTCACCTGGAACTAATAAAGGTCAATAATACTTTAAAAATTTTTTCTCAGAAAGCTAAGTATCTGGAAATTTTAACATAAGATATGAGCTTCATTCAACTAACTTTTCCCAAGGTCTGGGTTAAAAAACTACGTTCCCAACCTCCATCCACCTCACAAGGTATATACCTAATATATACAGAAGTTGGTATCACTTTTCCCATTCAACTAGAACTTGGGAGAAGGGCAGAGGGAGAGAAACCGAATTTGTTTTGGAACTTCCTCAAGCTCTTCAGGTAAAAGTCAAAAGAAAATAATTCATATTAAAATTTACTATAATAGTACCCTTTTTATTAAGAACTTTAGCCAAAAATTTCTGTAATTTTCCCTAAAGGATCCAGAGTGAAAAGAATATACAGCAGATCTTTGAACCACATTGGTTTAAACTGCATGGGTCCACTTATCCATGGATTTTTTTTATATATAAATACAATACAGTACTATATATGTATTTTCTCCTCCTTGTGATTCTTCTAATGAAATTTTTTCTCTAGCTTATGTTATTATAAGGATAGAGTACATAACACATATAAAATACAAAATACTTGCTATCTGACTGTTATGTTATATATTAATTATTTTATCAGTAAGGCATCCAGTCAACATTAGGCTACTAGTAGTTAAGTTTTTGCAGGAGTCAAAAGTAGTACATAAATTTTCAACTGCGCAGGGGTCGGCACCTCAAACCCCTGGATTGTTCAAGAGTCAACTGTACTTTGTTTTGAAAATAATATTTCAGACTATCTGCAAAGTCGATAGTACAGACACTGAAATTGTTTTCTCCAAATAAGGAATACCAAATTCTTAACTACTAATTCTCAACATTATCTCCATATCCTAACAAATTACTTACTTCAGGTCCTGTAGAAGGTCCTTTGCATTAAGCATGGTTATTAAAGAGGTGGTAGCTGCAGGAATTATGATAATGGGTGTTCGAGATCCTGTAAAGACAAAATTTTAAAGGTACCAAATATGCTGTTATTATCATTAAAAGACATAGACTTGCCCAATTAAAACTTTAAAGTTTGTAAATTTATAATCTTAGTTCCTTTGACCTAAAAAAATATTTTAAGTCAGCAGTAATATTCAAAATATTTGGTAATGAGTATGACCTGAGCACTGACTACCAAGCACAAACATTTGGTGTAACTTCAGAGTCTCAGCTTTCATTTTGTAATCTAGCTTATTTACTTTTACTTTTTAAAATAAATTTAGAATCAATAGGCACAACCTCACCTTTCTTCTGATTTGGGGGAGGTCTTGCTTGAGAAACTGTTAAGAGGGGAAAAAACTGAGTGTTAGAAACATCGCATTTTTATTTTCAAAATACAAATACAAATAAAATAAGTAAATAAAGTAAAAAATAAAAATACAGATATGGCCTAAAACTTATTTGTATTTACATATGACCAGTTATAAAATTTTAAAATATACTGAATCTTCTCAAATAACCTCAATCTTCTCAAATAATTTACTTCTGTTTCACAAAAACATTAAAATGTCCTACCAATACTCAACATTCTGTAGTAACAATGAAAGTGGATATACTACATTGCTGGACACTGAGTATCTACATTAATGGATTTTAAAGTCTAGCAAAGGAAGCAAAAAGTTTAATTAACTGATAACCAATGTAATAAATGCAAAAACAGAATATTACAAGAACACGAAACACTGTGGGAAGGACTGGGAGGGGAAAATGTGCTTAAACATTTGGGAGGAAAAAGGTATTAATGGGAACATTTGGGAGGAAAAAGGTATTAATGGGAACTAAAATATTTCTTACATTTTTGTTACATTTGTTTTTTGTTTATTAGAAGAAAACATTATAGGCAATGAGTCATGTGAAGGCCTATATTATTTTGAACTGCCTATATTTATTAATAATTGTGAATGTGTTATAAAAACACAAATATTCATCTTCTCATTATTTGTATATGTAATAGACTTTATAATGCACAGAAACATTTGTTGGTATAATAAGAGTAGTATCAGACTGGTTCAAGATTAATATATTTTAGAATTTGAAAATGCTGTACATTCAATTTTCAGTATTTACATATATAATAAAAAACATACTGACTGCTTTCTATGTGTCATGTACTGTGTTAGAAATTCCATTTTTTAAAATCATAAAAATAAATATTTAGGAGATTTAAAATTCTAACTCAACATCAGTTGTTAAAAACAGATTACCATTTTTAAAGGGATACATGCATTTTTGGAATATGTTCTATTTTAAAAGCAGTAAAATTCTACATTTTAATTTAATACTTTGTAATAGCTATTTATTGTGGTAAACTTCTATGGAGTCCAGCAGTAGGATTCTTCCAGTCACATAAAGCAGAGAAAGATATATATAAATAGAAGTCCACACACATACATATTTATTATAGTGTCCTCATCTCTTCTTGCTGAGAAAAAAAACCCTAAAACTTTCTTAAATCATTTTTAGAACTAGGATTCACAGATACACTTGATTAGCTAGACAGCATCATTTGGAATATAATACAGTCTCAGTAAATATCTGGTATTTGTTAGAGGAATAAAGCCATGACAGGATGGATAGAATACATGGATAAACAGGAGACAAGAGTTGCTAGGAGAATGACTAAGGGGGAACAACAAAAAAGAAATCTTTGAAACAACACTGGTTTGGTAAAGAAGCTCACGATGGACTCCTGAATTTAGGAAAAAATTCACTGAAATCAAGGCTGAGAAGATGTGATGTAAGAAAAAGACAAAATATAAAAGCTTACATATTAAAAATAAAGTCTAAAGATTTGATTAAAAAAAAGCTACAAAAAAAATATAAATAGGTTCCCTAGTAAAGTAAGGACCAAGGTACAGACACTGTGACAAACTTGATTTTTATTTTTTGAAAGAGAGAGAGAGAGAGAGAGAGAGAGAGAGAGAGAGAGAGAGAGAAAGCACAAGCAGGAGAGGGGCGGGAGAGAGGAGTGAGCAATAATCCCAAGCAGACTCAATACTGCCAGCCACGGAGCCCGATGCAGGGCTCAAACTCACCAAAGGTGAGATCATGACCTGACTGGATGTCAAGACACTTAACTGACTGAGCCACCCAGGTACCCCTATGATAGACATAATTCAAAGTGAGAGGGGGAGGAAAGTGTAGAATAACACCAGTCCATATGACAAAGTGATTAAGAGCAAGAATCTGTACTCAGATGATCTCAATTCCTATCCCCATTTTGCCACTTCCTAGGCAAATTACCCTAGCAAGTCGAATTGAGAGACTGCTCAGTCTCGGTTGTCCTCAACTATAAAACAGTAATAATAGTCTCTATATCCTGAAACTGCTGTGAGAATCTTAAAGACAACAATGCACCTTAACTCCTTAATCAGGTCTTGGCGCATGCATATTCAATATTTAGTGAACCCTGCGGCTACAGCTAAATGCTTAATGCTACTGCTCCTGGTACCACTAACACTACCACTGCACTTTAGCAAATGCCATGACTGAAAATGTACGAGCTGAGAGTAAGTAATTATTATTGTTATGTTTGATTTCAAATATAATTACAGTCTTCACTTAAATATTCAGAGCCTTATGTACAAGGCACTCTTATTACTATAAATAAAACAGAAATAATCCCTGCCCTCAAAGACTCTCCAGTGAAGTAGGGGAGCCAGAGCATGAACAAGCAAGCACACAAACACACATAAACAAATTTGAACATGTGATATTAAAGAGCAAAAGGAACATATCCTGACAGAAAAGTATCCTTTGGCTAGAATGCTTACAGAAAGCCTCTCAAAGGAAGTGGCATTTAAACTAAGATTTCAAGAATGAAAAGGAGCCAACTTGCAAAGAACAAGTGTCCGAATGGTCCAGAGAAGAGGTAGGAATGTGAGCAAATGCCGAAGACAGGAAGAAACTGCTGTGCATAGGGAACTGCACATGTGCACACTACAGGGACAAAAGAAAGAGTGGCGGGAGATGAGGTTAAAAATACACGCAGGAACCAATTTATATAAGGCCTCTAGGTAATGTTAGGTTTGTATTCAAGTGCCACTGAAGAACTCTGTAACTTTTAAGGCAACATGTGACATAGTTTGATTTTCATGTCACATCTTCTGTAAAAGAAAAACAATAGATTTAGGTAAGAGATCAAAAGGGGACACACATGAAAGCAGAAAGCTCAGTCAGGACTCGTAACAACAGTCCACAAAGGTGCTACTCAAATTAAGTGTAATGGTAAGGGGTTTTTTTTGTTTGCTTTTTTAATTTCCAATCCAAGGTCAAGTGAATAAAATGCAGTAACAATGAATTGCTAGAAAATGATCATGCACGTGGATGTTGTGACAGTATCATACTACCAATTTCTATATGTATCTTGTTGGGAACCAGAAATAGGTCATGGACTTCATGATGTACTGGTATAGAGAAATGTAATTCATGTAAACAAATGAGTTGTGGGAGAAGATAAAGAGACAAATTTGAAACACAGAAAAAGTAAATTTGACAGAAGTCAGTGACATATTAGATAAGAGCAATAAGCAAATGTGAAGAGTGAAGGATGAAGAATAACTCCTGAATTTTTTGCTTAAGAAACATAGATGATGGTGGTACCACGTATTCATGAAGAAGATATCCGAGAACAGAGATTTTACACCAGTTTTAAGATGCCTATGGCATATCCAAATATTAAAGAGACAGTTTGTATAAGATACCAAAGGTAAGAAGAGATGTCTCAATTGGGAATACAAATTTGAAAATCATCGGCACACAGATTAAAACTATGGAATGAGATAGTACGATCAGCACAATCTGTTGAAATTACACGAGAGGCTAATTCTCTCTCCCAAAATCACATGTAAGAAGATAAACCAGAGCTACAGGCCACCTATCCATTTCAGGAAATCTATGAAATAAAAGTAGAAAATTAAAGCTGGAGAAGTGAAGTATGCAATGTAAATGCATTAGAAAGAGGCAGGAAGCAGGGATATGTGCAAAAGATTTAATCTAAAAAGAAAATGACAGGGGCATCTGGGTGGCTCGTTCAGTTAAGTGTCTGACTTTGGCTCAGGTCACAGTCTCATGGTTTGTGAGTTTGAGGCCCACATCAGCTCTCTGCTGTCAGCTCAGAGCCCGCTTCGGATCCTCTGTTCCCCTCTCTCTCCACCCCTCACCCATTTGTGCTCTTGCGCTCTCTCAAAGTCAAAGTCACTCTCTCAAAAATAAATAAGCATTAAAAAAAGATAGTTAAAAAGAAAATGACAGTCAGGTACAGAACTATGGCTCATCAAAGGCTTCTCCTCTCTAATCCACTGAAAAACATGTACTTTTTGTTAGTTATGTTCTCTAAAGAAATGTTTAGAAGTTGGGAATAACTTTAGACACTTTTGAATATTAAATTTACCCAGGGACTTGCCTGGCACAATTAGTGCCCAATAAATACATGGTGAAAGAATAATAAAAAGGAAACAATAATCAACAATGGAATTCTATACTTGAGCTACCACACTGGAGAGGGAAAAAATAAATGATTCAAATTCTACCTACAAGTAACAGTTATTATAACTGCATAATTGCTGTCTATAGCCTACTACACTGTCAGATATGTTTTGAGCATTCTTATTTTTTCAATTTTAAAAAGATAACATAATGAACATGTCATATATGACACAATATCCCTTCAAAATTGGGTAGCATCAGAGCACCTGGGTGGCTCAGTTGGTTAAACATCTCTCAATTTTGGCTAGGTCATGATCTCAGAGCTCCTAACCTCAAGCCCCAAGTCAGGTTCTGAGCTGACAGTGTGGAACCTGCTTGGGATTCTCGCTCTCCCTCCCTCTCTGCTCCTCCCCTACTCGTGCTTTCTCTCTCTCTCTCTCTTTCTGTCTCTGTCTCTCTCTCTCTCAAAACAAACTTAAAAAATTCTTTAGTAAAAAAAATTAGGCAGCATTCCATAAGCAAACACAATAAACATTTCTACAGCAGAAGAAAAATTCACTAATCTAGACAAACACGACAAACTGCTTAGCATCCACTCAGACCAGGTTTTATTGATGCTAAAAACTTATAAAAATTTTTTTCTTTTATTTTTATTTACTTTATTTTTTGAGAGAGAGGACGGGGAAGAGCATAAGGAGAGGGAGAGAATATATATATATATATATTTTTTTTTTTTGAGAGAGAGCGCGCGCGCATGCAGTGGAGAGGGGTAGAGGGAGAGAGAGATAATCTCAAGCAGGCTCCACACTCAGCGAGGAGCCCAACGCGGTGCTCAATCCCACAACCCTGGGACAATGACTCCATACCAAACCAAAAGTTGGACACCAACTTGACTGGCACCAGAGAGAGAGAGAGAGAGAGAGAGAGTGTGTGTGAGTCTTAAGCAGGCTCCATCTCACATGCAGCCCACCCATGGGAGCAATCATGGGGCTCTAGCTCTACCAACCAGTGTTGCTGATCCCATGAGCCAAAATCAAGAGTCTGATGCTTAACTGACTAAACCAACCAGGTACCACAATTTTTGCTTTTAAATGGCGTATTGGTAGGGTGCCTAAGGGTAGCTCAGTCTCGTTAAATTCTCGGACGCTTTGATTTCGGCTGAGGTCATGATCTCACCATTTATGAGTTTGAGCCCCACATCAGGCTCTGCATTGACAGCACAGAGCCTGCTTGGGATTTTCTCTCTCTCTCCCTCTCCCTCTCTGCCCCTCCCCTGCTTACTCATACACACTCTCACTCTCTCTCTCTCTGCTCCTTCCTCACTCACGCGTACTCTCTCTCTCTCTCAAAATAAATAAATAAATTTAAAATTTTTTCAAATATAGAGGCTTCTGAGTTAGCGGGTAGTGTTAGGCACCCAGCTCAGGTCATGGTCTCATGGTTTGAGGATTCATGCCCCATGTCAGGCTCTGTGCTGACAGCTCAGAGCCTGGAGCCTGCTTCGGATTCTGTGTCCCCCTATCTCTCTGACCCTCCCCCACTAGCACTCTGTCTCTCTCTCAAAAAATAAACATTAATAAAATAAATAAATAAATTTAAAAAAATAAACTTTTCAAAAATAAAATAAAATAAAATAAATAAAAATAAAATGGTGTGTAAGGACTGAGAACCTATGGGAGTCAAGCAGTAAGAGAAGACCTCACATGGATGAGCAGCAGAATATCTGTTATGAGACATTAGTTCACATTAAGTTCAATCAGTTTAATTGCCAGTGCACCTCGGTAGAACAACTGAAAAAGAATGTTAGAATATTAAGAGTTGAAAAGACTCAGAGCTCCTTTATTTACATATGATCTTCCCCAAGGTCACAAAACTGGCTGGTAGAATCCAGCTCCCTTAACTTCATTTTATCACATGATATATTTGAACACCCTGATTTAGGTATTAGTGCCTCTCCCTACCCCTTTCCTTTGTCTGCCAAATGATTTTGAGACAATGCTTTAGAGAAATGAGAGACAATTTTACATTACACAACACAAAACTGGGTTAAAATCCTCACTTAGGTGGTGGTATTTACTCTCTTAAACTCTTTCTGAATTTCTAAGGCAATCTTCTTTAGAATGACCAACTATAACCTCCCATCCCTCCTTTCCAAAGAAAAACAATTCTGTATCAATCATTCAACTACCTACAATATCTTTCTACTTCAGATGTTATATTTTTTGGGCCCAACTCAGTTCCTTCACTTTCTTCCTTCCTAAAGAGAGATCCTTCTTAGCTTTTCCTGATTTCTGGCACTGAGTACATGGAAGGCATTCGACTAATATTTATTGAATTTAATTGCTCTTCCTTATACTCTTTAAATTTTTTGTTTAATGTTTATTCATTTTTGAGAGAGAGAAAGAGTGCAAGCAGGAAAGGGGCAGAGAGGGAGACGCAGAATCCGAAGCAGGCTCCAGGCTCCGAGCTGTCAATACGTAGACTGATGCAGGGCTCAAACCCATCAACCGCTAGATCATGACCTGAGCCAAAGTCGGACACTTAACTGACTGAGCCACCCAGTTACCCCGCTTCCTTATACTCTTATAATGGCTTTTGGTAAGGTTCTCTACTTACTATTAGTTTTTTATTGTTTGTTTATTTTTGAGAGAGAGAAAGAGAGAGAGCAGACACACATGAGCAGGGGAGGGGCAGAGAAAGAGGGAGACCCAGAATCCAAAACAGGCTCCAGGCTCAGAGCTGTCAGCACACAGCCCAATGTGGGGCTTGAACCCATGAACTGTGAGATCATGACCTGAGCCAATGTCTGATGCTTAACCAACTGAGCCACCCAGGCACCTCTATGGTCCTCTCAACTTAAAAACAGTCTGACAGTCCTGTCATCTGAAATAAATTTATCCAATGTTCTCCAAATTCAACACGTGACTAATGGAACATTCTTCTTCCCTACTCCTTCTCAAAAACAGGAATGAGAAAGATTTCAAACAAACTCACTGTCATTTAAAAAAAAAAAAAAAAAAAAAAAAAAAAAAAAAAAAAAGCAAATATTAGTTGTGTCAAGATCCAAATGTACAGATCCAGGACACAGTGAGACATCCTACAAAATTATTCCATCATGAGCCACATATAATCTTCACACCATACTTCTAAAGTGTTTCCAGAAATATTTAGTATATATAACCTACATAATTTTAGGGTTAGCTTGTAAATGTACTATGAATAAAAACACATCCAAATCCACACTACTGATACTGCCAAATTTAAGAGGAACATCGCCTAAATTCTTGCCTGTGCCTTTCTGATCCTTTTAATTTTTTTCACAGCATTTTCAACAGCACTAATGAAGTAAAAAAAGACATGTGGTATAGCCTAACACTGTAATTACGCTAAATATAAAAATAAAGCACACACCAAAGTCAAGCCCAAAGCACCTAAAATGGATATAATGTTGGTATCTACATGCATTTATAAACATCAATCTTTTCAGGAACTAGGAAGAGGGAAGAAAAATATTTCTAACATAACTTCAATAATGCCTTTGTTTACCTTACAAAACCTGGTTACAGAAACTTATATGATCAATAACACAGACATCTGATAGTCCAAGAATCAAAGCTACAGAAGAGTCTATTAAAATTATGGTGCTGTGCTTCTAACGGGGGGCTGAAAAATCACATCCACATGTACTCTCAGGGAACTCAAACAAGGAATTGGTGAGGGGATGGGTACATATAGATAGCTTTTTAAAGGGACTCCTGGGTGGCTCAGTCAGTTAAGCAATCGACTCTTGATTTCAGCTCAGGTCATGATCTCGTGGTACATGGATTCATGCATCAGGGTGCAGAGCCTGCTTGGGATTCTCTCTCTGCCCCTCTTTTCTAAGAATTTAAAAACATTTTAAAAAAACTTTTATCTCTTCAACTATACCTATTGTTTTCAAATAAATGTTCTTATATTACTTTATAAATACTTTAATTAAAAATTCAATTCCTGCACAGCATTATACATATCAAAAAATTTCACTGTCATCATTAAAAAACAAACAAACAACAAAAAAAGAAAACAAAGCCAAAGTTTTATATTTTTACCTGGTCTTGGTACTGGCTGTGCTGCAGGAGTCTGGGTCTTACGGGCTGATGCACCCTCCTTTAAAAGAATAAAAATTGACACATGATGCCAGAGTTCCTTTACATAATAAACACTTTCATTTAATTACTGCGAAGAAATTCCATATTTAGCTCTCATTCAGTCAGCCCCTCTACTGACCATGCTATGATCCCAAGCATTAAAAAACAAAACAAAACCAAAAAAAACCCCTCATTTATCTTTTATGTTATTGGTCTTGAAGCAGTAATAGGAATCTTGGTAGAAAATAAATTTAAACTGTTCATTACCACACAGTAGTTACCATAAGCATGTAATATTTTTCTAATACTCAATGATTTGCTTAATTGTTGACAATTTTAATATTCTCAGAAGTATCATTATCCATTTTAAAATCAAGTCAATCTTTTTTCCATTGAACAATTTCAAAATAAATAAATGATACATAATCTCACACTAGAAAGATGTAAGTAATGTTACTTTGGAACACATTAAAAAAACCCACAAACATTTCAAATTAAATGCCTTTAAAATATTCAGGGAAAACAATCACATTTATAAAGATGAGATTTGTTACATTTAAGATCTGTTATGTTTATATACTCAGGAACAAATGCCTCTGAAATGTTTAAGATCTTAAAAAGCTATCTATACTGTACAGTTCACTATCTTTACTTTACAATTTCAATCATATTCACACCAAACTTTTCATTATAACATTTTTTTCCTTTTCTCTCTCTCTTTTTTAAGTAAGCTTCACGCTCAGTGCAGATCACAACATGGGGCCCAAACTCACAACCTTAAGATGAAGATCTGAGCTGAGATCAAGAGTTGGACACTTAACCAAATGAGCCACCCAGCCAACCCTTCATTGTAACATTTAAAAAAAATTTTTTTAATGTTTACTTATTTTTGAGAGAGATAGAGTCGAGCGAGGAGAGGCCGAGAGAGGGAGACACAGAATCCAAAGCAGGCTCCAGGCTCTGAGCTGTCAGCACAAAGCCTGACACAGGGCTCGAACCCACGAACTGTGAGATCATGACCTGAGCCGAAGTTGGACACTTAACCGACGGAGCCACCCAAGTGCCCCTATAACATTTTTAATAGAAAGCTACAAATGTAAATTTCAAAACAACTAGTAATTTATGGAAATCTTACTTTAGTTGTACTCAAACCGAATGAAATTTGATAACTAGCAGGGAATTTACATAAATCCATAATAGAAAGCAGTTTTAGAATCACAGAAGTATTTCTAAAGAAATACTCCTAATTAATATTAATTTTAACCATAATACATTCTCTTCAAAACTTAAAGATTTTACATAGTAAAATCATTTGGAATGGTAGACTATTATCACAGGGGTTTTTTTTTAATAAACTAAATCAATTAAAGAGATTTTAGCTTTCCATACCATTGTTCCTGCCTAAAGAGGAATAAACTAGATATTATATAATAAACATGAAAGTAAAATAAATGTTATCCATATTACTTAGAAACCCTTATATGAAAATGCTGATTCATGGAGTGAGGTTTGAATACCCACAGAAACAGAGAAAAAATAAATGAGACGGGAAGAAAGATAATGAGCACACACATATGCAGACATCTTTCTGTCTACATTTGACTATAAGGCTGGCTGGATCCAAATCAAAGCTCTCTTTTTTTTGAACAGAGTAGATGAAGTTCAGAATCACTACAACACAGCACTAGGTGCAAACTGAGAACTATCCAAACCAAAACTAATTCAGCTGACTACTAAAATATACTTATACTATATGACCAGCTATGGCTATTATAACATGGGTCAGCAAAAAGTACAAGCAGATATGAGTACTATAGGAAAAAAAGTATTATCCATTACAAATCATAACCCCTAAGTATTTTTATCTACTTTTGAGGAAACTTAAAACTGGGACCCCTTTAAATGACAAAAATGGGTATTTTCTGTTTGCAAAGTAAGCTATCATTGTTTGATGACCTTCTCCTTCTCCAAATTACTCCTTTTTGGCAATAAGCCTTTTAGGTTACTGGGGAGGCATATGTCCTACGCCAAGTCAATCAAGAGTTCTCCCTCAGGATCTGTTTTACAAATTAGAACTAGCAAGTTATACCTCTAGTTGTATACAAGGCTACAAGGCAGTAAACTAAAAATTACAGATGATCCTACCTTTTGACTCATGGGGGAACACCCATCTATGAGGGACAGAATGACACTAGTATGCAAAAAAAAAAAAAAAAAAAAAAAAAAAAAAAAAAAAGGTGGAATATGACATCCCTTATAAAACCTATCTAGTTAAAATAGCCTGCAAGGCCTATTCTCCCCCTACCTCTTCTCGATTATGTGAACCTTTACAATTCTTCATCTCACCACTCTATGCAATTCTACACACATCTTACCTCAGTTAGTTGAGCAGTTTGTTAGTTGCAACTGAAAAGAGTTTTATCCAATTTTGTCTTCTCAGATGTACTGAAAATTTTGAGTTGCCAAAATCATTATAACACTGCTTAATTTTGGAGTTAGTAAACACAAATAAGTGTAAGCATAAGTGCAAGCACACATTCACACATTTTCTCTCTCACACCCACTGTGTATACACAGCTATAAACCTACTAAATAGGAGACTATGGGCTCCATGAAAGAAAAGAGGGAAGAAATCTTTGCTAATCATGTCATTAGTTTATGGCTGTTTTAGGGCTCCCTAGCCAACACTAAGAGCTAAAAGTTCATTCCACTCTGATCTGCACTCTTTTGAAATAAAATTATAGAACTCATTGCATTAAGAACCTCATAAACCATATAAAAACCACCACCCTTTACTCTAAAGATGAAGAGACAGAGGTGAAGTTTTCCAAAGACTACAAAGTGGTATATCTGGCATACATTAAGAAACAGGAATAATAATTTGGCAGTAATATGCAAGAGACTGACACTTCTACATTTTTAAAGATATTTGGATTGGGGGAAAAATAATACCCATCTGGGAAAATAAAGTATCAGCAAAAAAAAACAACTAAAAGAGCTGACAAATTACGCTAACTGGAGAGGAAAACTTGCTTTCTCTTGAAAAGTCAGAACCATTACCATTTCTACTCAGACTTGAGGCATTTCAGAAAAGAAATAACTGATAAAGAATGGAGTGGGGTGACAGAGAAGTGATAGAATCATTTTTGCAAAACACAACAAGACAAGAGAGTATACTGTTTATAATCCTTACTTGCCTTATTTTAGCAAGTAAGAAAAATCTAAAAATCTTCCGTTACTGGGAGACAGAATATTGGTTGCTGCTTAAACAAGTAGGAAATAATATAATATGTACTATCCTAAGAAAAATATGTGTAACAATTGTCAGTATGAAAAAGAATACATTATATTTACTCAATTTGGGAAAATGCTATTTATATGCAACTTCATGAAATACTGAAATTCTAAACGAAGAATACACAGAGAATATATACGCAGACTCTACAAGTTTATAATCTACCCTCCTGACTACTGTATTTATGATGGCAAAAGTACACTGAGTGAGTCCTTTAAAAAAAAGTATTTTGGAAAAGCTATGTACAAAAAGAAAACTGTATCTCTATAGACAAATGACAATGAGGCTGAAAACATAAAAGAGTTCAAGAACAAAACACAAATTATAAGCACAATTCTCTTTCTAAATCCTACTATAACCCAGAAGTATATGCATACAATGTATGCCAACGTGGAAAATAGAAAACACATTCCTAAAATATATTATATCTATAAAACATATAGATTTGATACCTATTATCAATTCTTCATTTTTCTCTAGAATTCTTTACTTACTTGTCTATTTCTCTCAACCAGAATGTAAGCTATCTTAGGTCAGGGACTGTCTATTATACCTCCAATGCCTATTCCAGGTTGCCTGGTGCATGGTACATCCTTAAAACTATACATCAACTAATTAAAACAATTCCATTTGCCTTAGAACTACTGACTCACAACTATTAAACTGTTTTAATCTGTTAAATAAAAGTGGTAGAAATATCATAAAGGATTATTGAGAGAATTAAACAACATTAATTGTTGTTTATTCATTCCATACACATTGTCATTCCATACACATTTATCAAGAGCACTGAGTACCAAATAAAAAACTGGGAATGCATCAGTATAAACAAAAGCAAGTATTTCTTCCTGCCTTCATGAAGTTTTGCAATCTAATGGAAGGGACCAGTGAAGGAATGAAAGTTCAAAAATTATAAATATAATTACATATACTTTACTTACTTGTAATATATATGTGTATTTTCTACTAATGTGTATGTGTATATATCTGTATGTGTATGTTCAGCTCAGTTCCCAAAATAAAGAGCAACTAATAATTATTAAACCAACTTCTTTCCATAAAGAAACATTCTTTATAAGAAAAGAAGTGGAAAACCAAATTCAGCAGCATACTAAATTCAGTAGCATATTAAAAAGATTATATACCATGACCGAGTGGCACAGATTCCTGGAATGCAAGGATGGTTCAACATGAAACTCAATAGATACAATATATCACATTAACAGAATGAAGGGAAAATACATGATCACTTCAACTGATGCAGAAAGAGCATTTGACAATTTAATACCCTTTCATGATTTAAAAACAATACATACCCACCTTAACAAACTAGGAGAGAAAGTAAACTTCAATATAATAAAAACTTAAGCATGAAACATCCAAGCACCTAACATCATACTCAGTGGTGAAAGATGGACACCTTTTCCCTTAAGATCAGGAACAATATGTCCACTTTGACCACTTCTATTCAACATAGCATCTGAAATTCTAGCCAGAGCAATTAAGATGAAGGAAGGAAGGAAGGAAGGAAGGAAGGAAGGAAGGAAGGAAGGAAGGAAGGAAGGAAGGAAGGAAGGAAGGAAAGGAGGGAGGAAGAAGGGAGTAAAAGGCATCCAAATTCAAAAGGAAGTGATAAACTTATCTTTTTGCAGATGACAAGATTTGTATGTAGAAAACCTAAATATTCCACAAAACCTGTTACAACTAATAAATGAATTCAACAA